TATTTTTGTCCAACAGAACCAGCCCTCGGCCAGGAATCTGTAGAACCAGCCTAATAATGCAGTTTCCGGTGACTCAAAAAAATGCAGGAAAAAGGTCAGAGATTCCAGATTCAATTTTTAAGCCGGGATAGAAGAAACCTAATGTTGAGTTGGTCCACCACAGGCATTTATGCACAGTTTAATCCAAAAAAAAAAAAGGTAAACATTGTGAAGTTGAAAAGGAAATAACGGCTCAGAATAAAACTTTAAAGCAAAATTTTACTCTGAAAAATTAGAAAAAGCAGGCATCTTTAAGCTAAGTAATCCCAGAATGAAACGAAAACAAACAACATAATACAAACCCAAATAATAAAAAAAAGCAAAAAGAAAAAAAAAAATAAGGAGCGAAAGAAAACCCATCGTTGGTATTAGATTACATACGACGTCGAGATGAAAAACAAACGTAGATGATGATTGATGTAGCCAAGACAATACAGAATCAGAAACACGATTAAAAATGAAAAGAAAGGAAGGAAGAAAGTGAGCCTATACAGGCAAGCACATTTTAATCTAATTAGAGATAGATAGATAGATAGATAGATAGATAGATAGATAGACTTACACAGAGGAGCTGACAAGAGGGAGACCTAGTAGGCGTACGAAGGGAAGGACGAGAAGATCACAGCCGTGAGATTGTGTGGGAAAAGGCAATAAAGAGAAGATGGGGTTATCGAGGATGAAGGGCGAAAGCAAAAGGACCCTTGAATAAATGGCAAAATCTCAGAGAAAAACTCCTCCTTCAGAGAGAGTGTGCATGTGTGTGTGACAGAGACAGCAGAGGAAGAGAAGGCAAAGTAGCGAAGGCAAAAGGGGAAGAGGAGGTAGGTAAAGGAAAAAGGTACTCTGCTCAAACAGACATTTCTTCATAGCTAAAATGGCTAGAAGTCTATCTATCTATCTATATCTCTAATTAGATTTAAATGTGCTTGCCTTTTTAGGCTCACTTTCTTCCTTCCTTTCTTTTTATTTTTAATCGTGTTTCTGATTCTGTATTGTCTTGGCTACATCAATCATCATCTACGTTTGGTTTCATGACGTCGTATGTAATCTAATACCAACGATGGGTTTTCTTTTCTTTCTCTCCTTTTTTTTTTTTTCTTTTTATTATTATTTGGGTTTGTATTATGTTGTTTGTTTTCGTTTCATTCTGGGATTAGCTTAGCTTAAAGATGCCTGCTTTTTCTAATTTTTCAGAGTAAAATTTTGCTTTAAAGTTTTATTCTGAGCCGTTATTTCCTTTTCAACTCCACAGTGTTTACCTTTTTTTTTTTTGGATTAAACTGTGCATAAATGTCTTTGGTGGACCAACTCAACATTAGGTTTCTTCTATCCTGGCTTAAAAATTGAATCTGGAATCTCTGGCCTTTTTCCTGCATTTTTTTGAGTCACCGGAAACTGCATTATTAGGCTGGTTCTACAGATTCCTGGCCGAGGGCTGGTTCTGTTGGACAAAAATA